GCGGTTTGTATAGAGTCTAGGTTCTAAACAATCAAATGAAAGTCTACCTTCAAATGGTGTCAAAAAATGTGGTTTTAATAATGAAAATATTTTTGATAGCCTTAAAATATATTTTCATCTTTATTTATAAAATTTAAAGCTTCAAAAATAGTGTAGATTGACAGATCTATTCAAACTTGAAAATATTGAAAATTAACGGTCCAAAATGTGTTACAAAATACACTATTTCCAAAACCTAAAATCCATTTTTTTTTCTCATGTTCATGCATCTTGATGTCGAAATGGTCAATTTGAGGCTATTTGGGCATCAAAATAACCTCATCTAGTAAAATTTTTGTGATAGGCTCTAATTTGATAGGCTCTAAAATTTTTGAGATAGGCTCTAAAATTTTTGAGCCTCGGCTCTATATAAACTTTTCCCCCATATATATATATATATATGGAAAAGATCTTGTACATCCAGGTGCATATTGTTACAGTAAACCCCGACAGCTCAGATTGAATCTAGGCCAATTTGACTATCGTTAATGTCCGATAGTGTTTTAATTTTAATTTTTTTCTATAAATCCAAATCACTTGAATTTTAGGCGTATATTTTTCAAAAATAGAAAAATCCACAAAAATATCAAAAAAAATTACATTAAATAAATTGATCAATCAGATAGGCCACATAATGCCTCAGATTTAATCTGGGTCATTCACATATGGGCTTACAATAGTGGCCCAATAGTATAAGTCCAATGGTTTAGATTGAATAGAGGCATGAAACAAAGGCACTTGATTGAAAATAAAATAGCACTTTTATCTCTCTATACATGGGGAACATTGAGACTCATGAAAATGAAAAAACACCTTCAATAGTCAATGATTGAAACACTACCGAACAATTATCTTCGTGCGATGAAGTTTGGATAGTGATGAGGGTAAACTTGACAATTGTGTCTATACAATGAAGTTTGGATGGTGATGAGGGTAGGCAAAATCGTTGTTTATTTTCACCTATAGGCATTGCGAATAC